CACACACACACACACACACACACACACAGGGGACCTTACCTTCACCTTTCTCATTTCCTGACATGCAACTTGCACTAGCACGTCTGACACTTGGACTGAATCTTTGTCTTCAGATGGGAGGAGGGTCTCCACACAGTGACTGCATATAGAGACATACAAACAATCTGGGTCAGAACTGCAGGTCTGTAATTATGTAACATGATGGATGTTTGCAGATCATATTTCGCTGCATCTTATTTCCTCATTTCTGAAACACCATCCACTTTTTAAGGCACAGAAACGTTTTGTGTTCTGCATTTGGTCTGACCAGCAGCTTCATCTTTCACAGAAGACACACATCCTCTTCCTCTTTTAGAATAAGACTACGATACTTGAACACAACTTCTCTTTCCCCTCCTCTGCACTGCAAACTTCAAATAGTAATTCCAGACCTCCCTTTACAATAAGAAAATAAAATAGTGCTCTAATAGTTAATAAAACTGCAGTCACAACAGTGTAAAAGACTTTTGAAGAGTCTGAATTGACAATGGGTCATGCACCTGAAGGTTCCTCAGAAAACAGACTGGATTTGTTTCTGCAGGTGACCAGGTAACTTATTGTTTTTCTGACCCGCCAACTTCTTATCTAACAGCCAAGACTCACAGCTTTGATTGTGTAATTCTAAAAATAAGAGAATCTAAGTGGAAGCCATTTTGCAGTGTTTTTCATTTCGCAGTGGAGGTTAAACGTTTCCTTTCTCATGCAGAAACATCAGCAGGAGGCTGCAGGAAGTGTGAGCTCTTGGTGTGCCGGTAATTCCAGGAAGTATCCTGCACATTGTTTGTTAAATCACAGGGAAGTGAGACACGACAGACAGAATGCTAACTGTATAAACATATGTATGTGGAAGCTGGAACAAAAACATCTATGCATCGTCTTTTGGATTATGCAAAATGTATTGTGACGAAAATGTGACTTTAATATTTCACATTTTTGATAACAACCTCGAATTGAATCTGAATATTGTTTTATAGTTGTGGTGCATCTTCTGCCCCTAATTTATTTCATTCTGACTTTTCTAATCTAGATACATTTTGACATTTAAGTTAAGGGAAACAGTATTAAACTTTAACACCCTGCACAACATACACTGCTTCCAGGAATATAGTCTGAACATACACTGCCACCTATTGTTGTTCATTTGTAACTACAGCTGAAATAGCCATTGTGGCTGTTTTCATCTATTCAATCATTTACTTCTGTTTGTCCATCACATCTACAACTCCAGAATAAATCCAATGAAAACGTGTTATTCTTAGAATGTGTGACAATGTTATTATAATAATGTGTGATACGGAACCACAAGAGATTAAAATGTACAACTTTTAAAACAGCATTGTGTCTATTAAAAGAAATACCTTGCAATGGTGGCTGTGACTCAGGGGTCGAAGCCAAGCATCCACTAATCAGACGGTTAGGGATCGATCTCAAGTTATATAGATACTGAACCCCAGAAGTAGACCATCTGAAAAGCAAGACAAACGTACCATCTGTATGTTCCGTATAAAGAAGTGCTGTTTGAATATGTATGTGACTCATTGTTTGGTTGCAAAGTAAAAACAAGCAAAGGACAGCAACATTTTGAAATCAGTGATGAACACTTAGCTAATGTGCCGCCTCAGCTTCAGCTTCAACTTTTGATAACAGGCCTTCCTCAGGATATTTTGAAATGTCAGAGTTAGAAAATCACACGTGTGATGGTTGATGTGAACCGGAAAGCCACAAGGTACAAACACAAAGAATAAAGAGTGGGTGGGGAGTCAGCAGGGGACAGGAAACTAATATTTGACCCATCAACAGTTTAAATCAGGCATGGAATCTGAGTAATGAACGAACTGTCTTTAATATCCATGTTTATGTGGATTTAAATGTGATGTTTGTTTTCATGCACAGCTGCAGTGGTTGGATGTGCTAAATCTAATTCCACATTAGAAATGACTGGTGGTTGTGTTTTCTTTGAAACACCCAAACAATGGAAACAGAACAATATAAATATAGTTGTGAGGACAGACCCTGCCTCCGTAAACCTCTCTGTGGGATTATTATATGATTATTAAATTGAAATGCTGTGAGATTAAGAAAAGATAGGATTAAAGTGTCAATCGAGAGCAATTGACACACTTTTATTTAAATCAAACCACAAAGGACTCAAAAAATCCCAAATTACAAACACACTAAATCACAATGGATTTTTTCACAGAAATTCCAGCCGGAAAAAAATAATATTACTGATAAAATTGGCAACAAAAACAGTTCATGTGTCCCAGTAAGACATGGCCGTATAACCTGAAATTATGGGCTAGTACATCGAAATTATGAGATAGTGAATTGATATTATGATAATAAGTCATTAATTTGAGTTAGTAGGTTGTTACTCTGATATACTCACTCATTATTTTTAGATTGTAAATCATTATTTTTTATTTTAAATCTTTATTTTTACATTTCAAGTCATTATTTTGAGTTAGTATGTCTTGTAGTAAGAGTTTCTAGTTACAATGACTGACAGGATTAAACAAAATGGCACTAATGGGCTTCCATGGACAGAGGCTTGGCTATTTATTTATTCATTTTAATTGTGCACTTAAGAGTTCCGTCGCTAGTCGGCGCTCTTGCACCCTGACAAACTTCCGCCCTGGCCGGTGAAAGACGCTCTGGCAGCTTTGACTGTGAAGCTCTCCATCCAGAGCCTCAGTCTCCACACGCGCACCGGCACGCAGGGATCCACCGGAGCGCACAGCCAGAGAACAGCGGGGGAATGGACTCCTCTGCACCGGACCAGAGGACCGCACCTGCTGGGGTTTGATGGGATGACAGAAGCTGGAGCTGAGGGCTTGGTGGTGGTGATGATGAGGAGGAGGATGCTGAAGGTAGGGGTTTGATTCCTGCCTTTACGCAGGGTGGAGAGGTAGTCCAGCGCCTGGCAGCAGCATTTAATCCGCTTGTCGGGAGGAGCAGGGAAAGCCCTGCCCAGAGAGATAGAGAGAGAGAGAGGGAGAGTTAAAGTGGAGAGAGTTGACTGGAGGACTCATATCTGCTGCTGGAAACAAATCAAGTGACTGCTGCTCCACTTCACACCATGAGTGGACCGACTAATGGTAAGCAACGTGTGTGCCTGTGTGTTTAGATGATGGTGGGGAATGTGTGGGTGTTCATATGTGTGTGTGTGTGTGTGTGTGTACTTCTGCCTAATCAATACCACAGTGTCCTGGGAGGGTTTAAATTGAAGCAGACATAAACAGCCCTTCACTGAGGTTATTGATCCCTGACTCACTTATTGACACTGTATTTCATCATGTCATTAGCGAGCTCCCTGTCAATGAAGGTTAGAGAAACAGGTCAGTGTTGTGTATTGCTGGATCACAACGTTCATTAGAATTATATATTTTTGCACGTCCGTCAGTTTTGTCTTGCAGGATCTGATGTGTGTAACCAAGCATGGATCGATAAAGATTTCTTCAACGAGGGAATCCCCCACTGATGAAATTCCCCCTGTTACACAAATCGGTCAATCTCATTCTTTTAAAGTATTGAAATGCAACATTCAAATAAATCAGTTTTTTGGGATCAATAAAAGCTGCTCAGATATTTTGGATGGAGCAGTGCTGCTCTTTTATAGCCGGAAGACAAAGGAGCACATCCTTTGGTTGACGCTGTGCAGGGGAGATATTAAAATACCCCAAGGTCCAATCAAAGAAGGTTTTTATTGATGTGAAACAAAGTGGCTGAGCAGACCATGCTACGATCAAGCTTCTCATCCAAGCAGACGTTCAGTTTCATACATCCAAACAAAGCAAGATATTTAGGACATTAATATTCATGTGTCAGTGTAGCCGTTCAATCACAAGCCTGTAAAGCGCAGCAGAGTGGCCCCTGCTGAGCCACTGTAACCCCGAGAATCTCCCATAGAAAAGAGGGGGATTATCGTCCGGCCGACTGGCTTGGTTGACACCAGGGGAGAGCTTATTGGTTTTTATCCGTGAGGTCAAAGGTCAGAATAAATAAGTGATGCTGTTAAAGGCTGCAGAATAAATGGCTTATTTGACTGTGAGGCTGTTTGAGAGAGAACTGTAAGAGAACAGATTAATTAGACATTTCTAATCAAATGAATTGGGTTTGCCATGTTTGATCTTCTGCAGTAGACAACACAACTGGAAGATGATGAACAGTAAATTTAAGAGAAGAGAGCAACAGAGAAAGAAACAATTGGGAAAGAAAAACATCAAATATATGAAAAAGGATTTGATACACACACACACACACACTCACACTCACTCACTCACTCACTCACTCACTCACTCACTCACTCACTCACACACATTTCATGCTAATGCTGCATGTTTTTCATCAATTTCATGAACATCAACATAAAACATTTAAGATGACTATTAATAACACCCCTACCCACACACATGCACACACACACGTGCGCACACACTCACACACAGGTGGCTCAGATTTTTCTCTGTCCGTGGTTCCAGGCTTTGTGCTGCCATCTGGCTACAGGACCAATGCCAGCTTCTGTGGCGTGTGTGTGTTTAGACCTAGACACACACACACACACACAGTTGATACAATTTGTTAGGAAACATTTATGTTCTAGTTTTACATTTTCTTTCCTGCTGACATTTATAGATCCACAACTCTCCCACAGCTTAACCTCCTGCCGACATGTTAAGTTTACTATATGATTGAATAATACTCTGCTGCAGCATTAAGTGTAAATGTCTTTGAACCAATCAGAATAGATAATAGATAATAGCAGAATTATTGCTTAGATTATTAGTACAGCCAACTGTTGCAGTAAATCAAATCCATCATTCAGATAGTTTGTGTGTGTGTGTGTGTGTGTGTGTGTGTGTGTGTGTGTGTGTGTGTGTGTGTGTGTGTGTGTGTGTGTGTGTGTGTGTGTGTGTAAGAGAGCGTATGTGTCAGACAGGGTAAAGAAGTACTTGTTTCACTAAGAGGGATTTGACCAGTTTCACAAGTGAGGATGGAAGAGGTGTAATCCCTGAACGGCCTTGCTTTGCCCTTCTCTGCCCAGTTAGTGTGACTTTGTCATGTACGAGTCAAGTGTGAGGATGCAAAGCTTTACTGACATATGCACAGTAAAAACAGATGTTGCACCGTAAATAAGCAAACTTAATAACGAGAGAAGATTTATATATATACACACACACACATATATAATATACATATATACAAGTATATATATATACAGTATATGCACTGCACATATGTGCACACACTCACATGCACGCACACCTATAAATATGTAAAGTACATATGTAAAGTGTAGCAGAAGCCTGTGTTAAAATGACACATTGAATACATTTAGATGCGTAATGAAGTACATGTATTTCGTGGACTGAAGACAGTGAGCAGTTTGATCTGTCACATGTTTGTCTTTGTGTTTCTGTCCGTCGCTCTCGAACCACTCAGTTGTAATGAAAGGTTGTAAGACCTGCTCTCTCCTCACTGGCACAGTGACAGACTGTCCACAAGCCATTACTATTCACAAAGTCAATTACTGATCCTCCTTCATCTCCTCTAAACCTTCAGCAGACAGTGAATGTGATTATTGTGTGTGTGTGTGTGTGTGTGTGTGTGTGTGTGTGTGTGTGTGTGTGTGCGTGTGTGTGTGTGTGTTTTCACCTTCATGTTACTTTGTATTTCTTTTCTGTTGTTTCTTGAGAATTAGGAAAAAACAAACTCATTCAGGAAAAATAATACTGAGTTAACTTGTGGATGTGATTTGTTTCTACTAATATATAAGACAAACAAGAAACTTCTTTCCACATTCATTATACATTAAAGCTTGTGTCACATTTATGTAGCACTTGAGGGAAAAGATGCATCTGATCTCTTTTTCTATCTGAGGCAGTCGTTCCATGTTTTTTTAATCAGGCTTTGATCAGATGTTGAGGAAAGGCCTGAAACAGACAGCACCTGACATGTTTGTTTTTGATCCTCCGCTCCCAACAGTTCAGTACCAGTCTGGTCTTTATGGAGGAAACAACAACAGCAGCTCTCCGATCTCCAGTCGTGGAAATTCGCCCATCGTGTGTGAGCGCTGCGGGGAGGTGTGTCGCGGGGAGGTTGTGCGCGTCAAGAACACACACTTCCATGTTCAGTGCTTCACGTGCCAAGGTAAAAAGAAAAACTACAAATACATTTCATTGTCACACACAATGTCTGTCAATCTTGATCAGTGGATTCCACCCACGCAAATGCACATGATTGAATATAAAATAATAATCAGCAGTCAAACAGGAAAGAACCAGCACAACAGGATCGGTGATGTTTTCTGTTTTTCGCGGAAGTAGAAATTGAGCGATGACTTTACGAAGTTCAAAGCCAATTAAAGTGTCACAGAAGTATCGGTAATTGTCGTCACCAGAAGCAAGAGGTGACGTTCAATCTCCACAGTGAAGAGAAGCCGGGAAGATCTTTGATCCTTCAAACATTAGAGGAATTATAGTTTATATCCCAGCATGGTTTCACTGGCAGCTGGATTTGGTTCTTGTACCGTTGATAAGTGTCTGTTGCTGTTGTGTAGTAATTTTGGTGGCATCTGATTGACAGGCTGGGCTTATTTCAACTATCGTCTTGTTTGGGTAAAGTCACATGGTTAGAAAGACCTTCAGTGTCCTGAGGTGATCAGAGGAAAGATTGACGAAGTTGTGATGCACAAATCAGTTTTCAGCTTTTGGACTTTTTCTCCACTGCTTGATTCTCACATCTCTGGTTAATCGTTGACAGAGACGCCTGATATGTGGCCTCGACTACTCACTGCTTTTTGTAAGATGTCACAAGTCTTCAAGATTGGAAACCACTAGTTTGATATTTAACAATGTTTTTTGCGTTTTAAAAACTTGTCCCATCATCCATTGTGTTTAATCTTCATCATAAAAGTAGTTTTCCAAATGTATTGGATTGGAAAGTAGAGCCAAGTGGAATTTTAGGGGGCGGATGCCATTACTGATGTCAGGGAGTAAAAAACGTCCGATAGCAATTTATCAGCTGAAAAAGCCCTTATGACAAAGACTTGAAATTTCACAGTGTTACCCTAATCTTTATTATAAATAATTAAATAATAAATAAAATGAAACACAATCAAATATATACAACTTGAATTAAGAAACGTTTACATCATTACTGCATTGTTGATTCATCAAATGTGAAAGGCTCAGCCAGCCAACCATTAAATCAGGTTAAGTACAAGTACTTCCAAATTGTACAGCAAAGTATAGTACTTGAATAAATGTTATAGTTACTTTCCACCACTGCCAAAAGCAAAGCAGCTGAATGGAACTGTAGCGTTATTGATATGATCACATTAAACTGAGATGATGTGGATTATTTAGGAGTGTTTGAATACAGTGCAACTATATGGACATGAACACGAGAGATGAGTTTCACAGTAACACGCAGCCACAGAGAGTATTTGTGTCCACCGGTGAGCAGGTGCGACAGAAGTCGAGGTCTGGAGTCAGCAGCTAGCGTAGCAGAGCAGTCAGCAGGTTTTTTTCAGCTCGTAGTCAGACTCCAACCAGCTCACCTCCTTTCACAGGCCGAGACCCCCACAGTCCCAAAGCGCTGCTGAACAACAGCGTTTGATCTGCTGGTAACTTCGTCTGAATGCGCTCAGCCACACGGCAGCATAGAGAGGAGGGGATCTGTTTGTATCTCATGCAACATTTCTCAGATCTCAACCTGAGCTGAGTAAACTGGAGTCCCTCATTCCCTCCGACGGGACACGAGCCAGATTTATTGACGGAAGCGTTCTCTGTTTGATATTAAAGTATTTATTATTATGGACAATTGATCTTGCGGAGTAAGCTTAATGACTTTTAGCTAATGGACCTCAGGCTGAGTAGGAGTCAGCTGATGAAGTGGACAAGAATCAAATCGTCAGCTTTTAGTACACAGGCATCTGTGTGTGTGTGTGTGTGTTTTCTCATCTGCTCATTATCTTTTCCTCTCCCGTTCCTCTTCCTCTTTGTTGTTTTCTTCTCTCACATTTTTCTTCTGTGTGTTTGTAGCCGTGAATGTCAGAGAGTTGCATTGTTGTTTAGTGTAATCTCCTGTGGAAATGTGGCTATTTGGAATTTAACATTTTTTGGGGGCATAAGGAGAGAAGAGAGAAAGAGAAGAAGAGGAAAGATTTGTGATAAATGAGAAATAGAAACAGATGAAAATAGACGACAGTGTCAGTTGTACAAAAATGAAACTGCTGCTGCCATCTGTGGAGAAGTGTTCATGGTGTGGAGCAGCCAATCACGAGGCAGTCTCAGCTGTCAATCATGATGTTACACCCTGTTTTGTGTGTTGGGTTTTGGTGTCAAATATTAATTAAAAATAAATTTACTAGAAAAATGAGTCCCATCCACTAACATGAAGGAGGCAGGACTTATGACCTACACTGCAGCCAGCCAACAGGGGACGATTTGAATTTGGCTTCACTTTTGTGAGACTGTCAGGTCGTCCATCTTTATGTAAAGTCTGAGTTTGATAGATAAGACGGCAACTCGACCCGAGGTCATCAGGTTGGTTCATTTACTCTCATGTGCAGAAGCTTTAGACAGAAAACTGCAGCTTTTAACGCACAGGACAAATGTGTGATTTACTTGTGGCCTTGTATTAACACCATTGGACAGAGTTGTGCTTGATACATGAACTTTTCCTCATGATTTTAAAGATATCAGCTCCAGTCCCCAGAGGATGAACCGCGCTGACTTTTCAGCTGTAGCGTCACCATAAGTTTGAATTTTCATGGAAGGTCTCAACAACTTTGTTTCCGTCAGAGCAATAAGAATAAGATGCAGAAAAGCTTGGCAATTAAATTTTCAACAAGGCTGATCACTCAGAAGACAAAGAAAAAAGCAGCTCTGTAAATATCTTTCTGCTCTCATAAAAATCTCATAAAATATGGAGGATCTTTATAAACTCGGCCTCATTCCAAGTGAATGATTCCGGTTTTTGGATTATTATCTTCATGAATCTGCTCGTACGTAGTCGTAGCTCATCCGTTTGATGGACAAACACTTATGCCTCACAATTAAAAACCCAATTTTCTATCTGTGTTAACATTGAAGCCAAAATCCATAACGTGTCACAGAATTGTACCAGTGTAATCCCTCACTTAGACTATTGGCTGGCTACACTTCCCATTTTCTCCTTTCCCTCCCTCCTCCGTCCTTGATGCATGCGTCCATCCTGTTCACACTCATGCAAATGCAGAGGAGCTACAGCACGGAAATCCATCCCATGTTGATGATGCGAATAAATGAGGGAAGACAGTGACAGGACGGCAGACGTGTGCTGGATGGACAGATCGATAGCCTCATTGATACCTCCCCTGGGTCCCCCTGTCTCTCCTTCTCTTCCTCCACATCCTCATCCCCTCACTTTGCTGTCTGCTTCCCTTTCTCCTCACACATGATGCTTTCTCTCTATTCAGCTTCCTATAATCTGTCCCCTGACTCCCATCTTCCCTTTCTTCTTTTTTCTCCCTGTCTCCACTCTGCCTCATGTCTAACATAATCCTCCCCTCTTCTCTCCTCCCCCCCCCCCTTTTTTTTTCTTTTTTAACTGGGAAATTGAGCCATGTACATCATCTATGACCTTACAGTGTCTCTTCTGTAAAAGAAACACTTCAGTCAAGGCTCGAAAAAATTGGACAAACTCTCCCAATCGTCTGATTTGCACTGTGCATCAAATCATTCCACGAGACAACTTGTGATAAAATGTCTTTTGTGCTATAGAGTTTTTTGGGAAGATTTTCTCTCTTAAAGTTGAGTGCACGCTAATATATCTGGATGGATTGTACAACTGATGCTTCACCTTCTCAACAGAATTTAAAGTAGACTGATTGTTTGAAGATAAGACGACTGCGGAACATCATGTGAAACTGTAAGGGCCCTTAATCGAGCACATACCTCCACCAAGGCTCAACAGTCCCGATCTAGAGCCTAGATCCAGATTTTTATTTGGATCTGCACCAAATTACACACACTCATAAATATCAGTCTCCTACACATGTAATATTATTTTTAATCAAGAGAAATTAATTGTTTCGTAAGAAATCAACAAAATTGTTGAAAAATGATCACAGAAAAGGAAAAAAACTAAAACATAGATCCATTACCTGATCCAGATCTTGCGCCACCTCTCCACTAAATATCATGGAACTCGTTTGAGCAGTCTTTGTGTGTGTGCGTATGTGTGTGTGTGTTTTATCAGCATTAGCCATACAGGCAGTCACGGATGGACTGGCATTTTCTTCTGAAGAGACTTCAAGGACAAACTGTGCAGCAGCAGCTTCTGCATCAGCTCAGCTGTGGAGCAATTTTCCTTTGTGTGTTTTTTCATGAGCGTGTGCATCAGTGAGCTGGTGTTCTTCTGTGCATGTATGTTTTTCTGTGTCTCTGGAAGCTAAATTAGGAGGATGAGACGGAGACGGTCCCTGTATGTGTGTGTGTGTGTGTGTGTGTGTGTGTGTGTGTGTGTGTGTGT